AGCTTTTATTCTTGTATATAATTTATATTTATTTGTTATTATACAAATTAAGTCTTTATATAGTTGATATGTAATTATTTATATAAATTAAACAATAAAAATACGAGCAAGGCCTCACCTTAATACCAAAAAAAAAAAAAAACAATTTGTAAATGAACCATATATTGTGCAAATAATATAATCATAAGGGGAATCAATAAAATCATAAAGTTCGCAATACATGATTTATTTAATTTGGAATTATCATTTTTGGCAACTTCGCAATTCAAAAAGTTTTCCATCATTCAAGCGATGAAATATGCTTGGAATCATATAAGTTTAGATACTCGAATTTAGTTCATTTAATATTGAATCACGAATTATTTGATTTTGGTTTGTTTTATACTTCAATTAAAAGAAACTTTGATGAAAATTTGGTTAATTGGCTAATTGGTCATGTGGACATTGGAGCTATGCGATCTAGATCAGAAAGTTATGTAATCAAAAAATCAATCCTACGCCCTGGCATTGTTGTTCTGGCTCTCTAGGTGGACAACAAATAAGTTTTTTACTACTTTCTTTAAAGACTTTAGTCATCTGGCAGTCAATTTTATCCTGTCGATGTTTTTTTTACAAAATTTTTAAAAAAATCTGGAGATTTGGCTACCCCCTCCAAATGATCAACATTGTTTACCACTTCTATTTTTAGAAGTTGCTATTGCAATGTGGCAAATTAGAGAAACAACAAACACATGCAGAACATATAGTGATTTTTATTATTGAATTTAATTTGTGAAAGAGTTTATAGTTAGTTTTAGGTGCTTTTATTAGTATCATATGAGATATACATTATCCTGAAGTCATATGTATAATATTTTTTTAACCTGGCACAAGTTATAATAGTACTTTCATCATTTTTGTTTCTACTTTTTTTTATCCTGTCTTTTTTTTTTCTTTCTTTGTAGGTTTTTTATGTGTTTTTTTGTGGTTTTTATTTAGATATTTTCCCTTTTTGGTTTTAAACTTCCCCTTTTTTTCTTTGATCTTGAAGTTTTTTCATTAAGTAGTTAGAAGTGTTTCTTTTTACTTGGGAAATTAGGAGGAAAAGATTTAGGGTTCAAAAAAGAGGAGGCAATCATGATAGCTGTAAATGCTGCTCAGTGATATATTGGATTTTTTTGTCAGTAGGAGGGTTTAGTATTATGAGAAAATTTTACTATAGCAGATCATACATGGATAATTTGGACTTTTGTTATATAAGACTCTTGTCATAAAGAGCCAGGTGAGTCAATACTTGTAATTTTAGAAGTAACATATTTAGCCATGTATTGAAAGTTAGCTCACTCATGAAATAGATATGAAATAGTTATGTGAGTTTTATATTTAATAAAGTATTGGCATGATTGCCGAAGTTAAAAAAAAAAAAAAACAAGAGCAGAAGTAGGGGCTATTGGTTTAGTACTACAGTCAAACCTCTTTAAGTGCACCCTTTATAAGTGCATGCCCTCTCTAAATGCACACTTAAGTGCTGGCCCAAATATATACTTGACTTTCATAAATGCACTTTTTCTTATTATTCTCTATATGCATGTTATTAAAGTATGGTTCCAAGAGTATGCATTTAGAGAGGTCTAACTAGAGAGTCTGGCATGCCACATGTTATACATAATTTCTGTATACATCAGTTAGTATACTTGAAAAAATTGGCATGCCACTAGCATGCCACATATTATTGTTATATTAGTAACTCAAAAAAAAAGTTAAGCATCTGTAAATCCAAAACTAGTTTTCTCACAAATATAATTACAACTTTTTAGCCAATCACTTTTACTTTTTCTAACTATATTAACTGTTAAATAATAAGTAGATCAACATTTATATAATTATATTAAACATGAATCTATTTAATTTAAATAACTTGCAGATTTAACTGCTATAATAAAATAATAGAAATATGTCTTAAGAGTTTCAACTATATAAGAAGTTACTAAAATCCTTTATTGATTTAAAAATTTATAATAACCATATACATATTACGTAGTAATATATATATATATATATATATATAATAAAAATTATGAGTTGGCATACCAAGCTAGCTAAAGGCATGCTACTGGCATACCACTATGACATGCTATTAATGGTATGCCCTTGCCAATTTGCTAGACACCCTAGATCTAACTGTACTAGCAGTACCCAGCAGATACAAAATTAAGATCTTTACAAATAGCACAAATGCAATAAGCTTAATCGAGAAGCCCAAAGCCTATTTAAATAATATTAAATTCATTTAGCTCAAGAATAGAAATATTACTGCAATGATAATAAATCTAATCAAAGTAAAAAGTATTAATATAAGCCTAGTAAAAGTAAAAGAGCATAGTAGAATTAAATTAAATAAAGCTGCTAACAAATTAGCAAAAAAGAAGAATAGAGCTGAAACCTGTTGCAGCTTTAAAATAGAGTAGTTTAAAATGTTAAAAGTAATTTCAAGATAGAATAGTTATATTATCAATATACCAATTAGAGAAATAATAGATAGTATAACAAAAATGTATTATAGTATAGGATAGCTAAATAGCAAAAATATAGATAGTTTAGTTAGCAATAGTACAGATAAAAAGAAAAAATTTGTAAAAAAAAACAGGATACAGATGTCTAAGTTTAAAAAATAGGCAAAGTTGGGTTTTTAATATAAAATATATAAATAGACTACTTCTGACCTTAAATATTCTATATAGAAGAAACTCAGGCCTTTACCTGATGGATATTTGTGTTGTATATTTTAGAAAAAAAGAAGATATAGCACACATAGCAGTATGTGAAATATATGAGACCTTATGGAAAAGAATAGAAAACAAAGCTTTTAAAAAAATTAAAAAAAAGAAGAGAAAAAACAAAAAAAAGAGTGAAAAGAGTGACAAGGTTTTACGTAGCAAAACAAAAAAGAAAATAATCAAAGACTTACAAGAGGAAAGATATTAAAATAGAATTAATTATATTAAAGATATCTTCTGGAAACTTAAAAGTAAAAACAGAGAACAAAGTAAGCTACATAAAAGATACTATCACAAGCTACAAAAGCTTTTTCAAAAGAGAATCTGGTATCTAAGATGTGAAGCTATAAATAAATGAGAGTAGGTAAAGAGATTACAAACAAGAAAAAGAGAAAATGAACCAAAAACAGTGAACCTACACATAAAAGAGCAAAAAAGAAAAGAAAATCCAAAGAAAGATAAGGGAAAAAAGGTCTTTGAATAGAGCAAACCAAAAGGTATGGGACAAGGCAGAGGAAGAAATAAAGAGTCCAATCATAATAAATGTTAAACCAAAGTAATCAAGCCTCTACAGATTGCTAAAATCTAAAATATAATTGTAATCTTGACAAGGCTAGCAACTACTGTTCAAGAATCTAATGGAGAATCTTTTAGCAAGTTAAAAGCCAAAGGTAAGAAAAAAAGTTGCTACAACAGATCACATATGGGCACCTCTAAGCAGCCAGATGAGCTTTTATTGAAGAAAAGGAAAAGTTAGAGGCAGTAGCTAAAAACCTATATATTTTAATTATATATTTCTTGTATAATAAAGACAGAATTGCCAAAAATAAAAAAAAAGTAAATAAATACAATTTAGATTTATTTAAACCCAAGTTAAATTTATTTAAACTTAATTCAGATTTATTTAGATTTATTTAAATCTAAATTAGGTTGAGTAAAACTTAATTTAGATTTATATAAATCTAATTTTAAGTTTATTTTAAGTTTATTTGAATTTAATTTATATTCTAATATCCAGAGTATTATTTAGAATTTAAAATAAAAAAAATAAAAAACTTAAACCCAAAACAATATTCAGGTTTTAAGAGTAATTTAAAATATTTAAATTTAAAAAATTAAAAATCTTATACTCAAAACAACTAATAATATCTAACTTATTTAAAGTACAAGAATAAAACAATAATATTAATATACTATATATTATTTTTATTATACCAAAATTAAAAACTTATTAAATTAGCAAAATAATTATTTAGTTAATTTTTATTAAATATTTTAAAATTTATAAAAGCAACTAAAATAAAAAGAATAAATGTATACATTGTACCCTGCAAAGTTATTACTCATTACTCCTGCCCTGCAAAATTACTAATTATCACCTCCATTATAAAATTATAAATCAGGTCTATTAATATTACACATGACTACATGATTACAAACATTAGAGCATTGCTCATAATATAAGACTGACTTCGCCAATACAGCATGAGCAAAGTCACTATTACATTGTGTAGCAATGCTCTTCATGATTATTTTGTAAAATTATTATATAATATTAAACACAATTGTCACTAATAATTTGCATCATTATGCAATGTGCATTGCTAAATTGCATCCCAATTTACATTACTATGTGATATGCATTGGTAGATCACATCCCAAGCACTAATCATTTACATCAACATGCGATATATTAATTTTATCATATACTAAACAAACCAGAGATCATATATAATGCAAATTCTGATCTCATAAATGATTTTGTTATTTTCGTTTCCACACAAATAATCATTACAATAAAAATATTATCATATCAACCTATTACACAGAATCCTTCAAATTATGATATGGCAGATTTAATAGAGATGGAACAATATATCTACTTTGATGATAGTGCTGAATGTTCTATATAGGTGTTGCCCAATAATTGTAATAATAATAAAGAGAACAGCAATAAAATATTGACTTACTAAATAAATGCTAATTCTGAAGAATGTGATAACAATACATCTACTAATATAAATAGTGGTATTGTGATGACTTCAGAAGACATACCTATAAATACAGATTTTGATTCTTGAATGGATGTGGAGAATTTCTTTAAAAAATATGAAAAAAGAAATGGTTTTGCAGTAATTAAGTATCATGTAAAGAAAAATAAAGCTAGAATAGTTTATAAGCGAACTTTCACTTGTGAATTTGAAGGTAAATACAAACCTAACAAGAATAAAGAAGTTTCTTAAAAGGGCAAACAAAAAATAACAAAAACTAAAAAAGTCAATTGTCTATCCCTTAAACTGTAGAGTTCGTGTAACAATTTTAGCTTAAAAATAGCATAAATTTAGTTATGATCTATTTTTT